TCATATCCAGCGCTTGAAGATCAAGCTAGAATTATTCTGCAGGGACACCGAGTGGCTGATTCTGTTCCTGTGACATGTCCTTGGCAGAAGGAGTGTCCCCCAACTACTAAAAGGCTGCCATAAACGACATTTTGGGGACTGTGTAAAATTGTAAGTGACTGTAGTGGGGCTGCAGCTCCTCCCTCTTTCCCATTTGTCCCCAATCACTGCGTGAACCCCATTCATTTTGGGGCAGGGGCTAGGTAGCAAAAGCTTTAATATTCTCTCAAGCTGAGAGGAATCATAGACTCTTTGCCCGTGATCATTCAAATGATCAGTCACAAAATCCAAGAGAAGACTGAGGGATTGTTGCAGGCTGAAGATAAATCAGGCATATGATTGAGACAATTGGAAAAGGTGGAATGGAGTCTGAGGGCTGTGGTTTTTAGGTGTCTTCAAGTTTGGTTTCAACTCATAGTGACCTTATAATATATACAACAGAGCACAAGAATGTCCAGTCCTGCATCATCCTCAGAAGCACTGCGATGTGTGAGCCCACTGTTGTTGTCAGGACATATCATTGAGTGTATTCCTTTTTTTTTTTTGTTGACCTTTTATGTTGCAGTTACATAAACTCCTGTCAACTTGAGTGAATGGGGTGAAATCTAGCCTGTCCATCAAGTCATAGCCAATGGTGCCTTTGTGTGGGCATGGCCTTCTGAGGATTCCTGGAGGCGGGACACACACTCTCTGATTGATATTCCTGCTGACGAGCCACATGGAGCTATGCTTATGGAACCAGAACCCTGGAGCTGGAGAAGCCTTGTGGAGACCCATGTCAGTGCTGGGATGTTTCTAGTGCCACTGGATCCACAAGACTTTCTACCCACTGGCCTGAGATATTCCTGCATTTGGTGTTATTGAATGTGATGCGTGACTCTGAAAAGGAATTTATAGACTAGTATCGGACATATGGGCTAATATCGGCCTTATGGATTGATCTGGACTGGGCTGGGATGCTTTCTTAATCTACAATTTCTCTTGGATATAAAGCTCTCTCTTACATATATGAGTGTCACTGGATTTGTTTCTCTAGTCTACCTGGACGAATATGCATTACTTTACCAAGTATGGTGTCTTTTTTCAGGGACTGGTCCTTCCTGATAACATGTCCAAAGTACATGAATCAAGTCTCACCATCCTTTCTGTTATGGAGCATTCTGGCTACCCTTCTTCTAAAACAGATTTGCTTGTTTGTTTGTTTTTCTGGCAGTTCACGGTAGAGTCAGTACTCTTTGCCAAAATCATAATTCAGAGGCATAAACAAACCTTAATCTTCCTTATTCATTTTCCAGCCTTCATAGGCATAGAAGATGATCAATTGATTACCCGATAGTATTTTATCAGTGAAGGATCCCTGGTGCCACAGTGGTTAAGTACTCAGGGGAGCACTGAAAGGTCAGCAGTTTGAAACAATGAGCTGTTCATTTGGACACGCTGTGGCAGTCGGCTTCTGTAAGGATTACAGCATTAGAGACACTATGGGGTAGTTCTTTCTACTCTGTTCTGTTGGGATGCTATGAGTCAGAATTTACCGGTGGGCAATGGATAATGTATTAATGAGGTGGCTAGGTGGCACAAATTGCTACTTGACTACTAACTGAAAGATCGGGAGTTCAAACCCATTCAGAAGTGCCCTGGAAAAAAGACCTGGTAATTTAGCTCTGAAAAATCAGTCACTGGAAATCCTTGCGATCAAAGTGCTATTGTGGCACACACGGAGTCTCCATGAGTTGGAATCAAGTCAACAGCAACTGGTTTAACATGGTAACGTTAATCTATTGATTATGATGATTACACTGTGCTGCTCAGGGGAATATTCTTGTATATAGGAAATATGCACTAAAGTGTTTGGGGTGATAGGGCTAAGGTGACCAGATTTTAACATTGGTAAAGCGGGACACCATTGACCAGGGTGGGTGGGTGGGGGTCGTTCTTGATTAAAAATTTGGTCTATATGGAACAACAAAATTTTCATAGAATGCAAAAATAGTATTGTAATACATATTTTTAAATTTCAACATAAGTACACTTTACAAATATACTACATTAAAATTATGTATAGTATTATTTTATTCTTTGGTATATTTCTCATTTGAGTGAGTTTTTTTTAGGAGATTGCTGTCATTGTTTAAAAGGTCATGACATTTTTCACAAGAATTTGTTAAATTTCACACATAAAATGGCTTTCAAAGTCTCAACACTTAATTGTGAATTTTCTGAAGTCCACACTTTATTTACCATAGAAAAAACGCTTTCAGTAGCAGCATTAGTTCCTGGTAAGGACAGCGTGTATTCCACAATTTTTAGTGCATATTATATGGAACATGGTCTGTTTCAAAATGATGAAATATTTCTAACCATTTGTTCTCTATTGTGATTTTTGCTGATGCCCAAGATTTAACCCTTTCCTTGTCAATATACATTTTAAATCATGATACCTCATTAAAAAGATAATTTTCAGAAATAGTACTATTTTGAGTAATATGAGCGAATGATTTTTGCACATTATTCCAGTACTGCCTGCTAACTTCAAGAAAATGTATGTATTTATGAAATAAATAAATAAATTACCTAATGATTTGAATGGCTGATTTGTTGACATCACTTGTTTAACTAGCATTAGCATGCAGTACGATGTGTATCATCTGAGAGACAGTTACAAAATGTCTTCATCATTGCCAATGCGCCAAAATGCCATTGTTCATTAAGTCCAAACAATGGTGGTCGAATTCTAACAACTGATCAACAATACAAACTTTGATAAGCAGCTCTCGATAATCAGTTCTCAACAATTATTTGTTATTATTAAAATTTAACATTATAAAATTAACAAAAATAATATAAAACTCATATCCTGGCGAAATAGCCATATGGCAGCAGAAACCGTATATTCCCTTCCCGTTCTCCCGCCGTTCCCTAGCTTGTCGTGCATTCTTTCCAAAAATCGGGACTTTTTAAAAACACTATGGGATGCGGGACAAATTGTTAAAAATCGGGACTGTTCCTCCATTAGCGGGATGTCTGGTCACCTTAGATAGGGCACAAGACCCATGATTTACTGTTTTCAAATGTCTCAGGAGCCAAAAAAGTTTTGTCCTTGTACTTTTTCTGTTTGCAATTGTTGGGGGAAAAAAAAGAAAAGAAAAAGAAAGAAAGAGAGATAGAGAAAAAGCAAAAAGTCCTGTGAGGTTCAATAGTTATACCCGTAACTCCCTTTGGAAGTGTGTCTCTTGGTTTTGTTAGGCTCCGGGAGGAGGTTCAGTCCCGCTGGCCTGCTTTGCATATCCTTTGGCCCCTGCACCCACCGTCACTCTCCAAGACCTTTCTTCTGGACCTAAGTACCCCACGGCTATCCGTGATCTTCATATTGAAGCCCACTCTGACCGTGGATATTGCTTCAGGATGATAGATTCAGACTTTGAGGGTCAGTCAAAAGGTCTTGCCACAAAATCGTAGAAACTTTTATTAAACAACGAAAAAGCAGAATGTGAAATTATTTTTGACACATGCTCCATCTAGGTCTACTGTATTCATTTTGGAAGGTGTGCATTCCTCTAACCCTTCCTGAAAGAATTTTGTGTTCCTCCATTTACACGCCATCAAAAAGGTAGTTTGGCCATTCCCACGGGACTCAAATTGTTCTTTGAATTTTGGGAAGAAACAGAAGTCTGAAGGGGTTGTAGGGTGGATGGGATAAGGTTTTCCAAAGAAATCCTCAAAGGTAGCCCTTGCTACCTTTGGAGGATTAACAGGTATGTTTTGATGGGAAAAAACTAATTTGGCACAATACAGTTCTCAATTTTCTTAAAACTTTTTCCTAATAATCACTCTCATGGTTGTCTTGTGTTCTTTGAGAATTTTATTAAGATTACCCCTTTGTAACACCTCCCCCCACCCATAAAAATCCTAACCTATGAGCTGACCTCTCTGCTTTGAATTGAACTAACCCCGCAGATCCCCTCAGAAGTCACTATTTTTACTTGATCCTTTAAAACAGCGGTTCTCAACCTTCCTAATGCCGTGACCCTTTAACACAGCTCCTCATGTTGTGGTGACCCCTCCCCACCATAAAATTATTTTCTTTGCTACTTCATCACTGTAATTTTGCTACTGTTATGAATCGGGCGACCCCTCTGAAAGGGTCGTTCAACCTCCCAAAGGGTCACGACCCACAGGGCGAGAATGGCTGCGTTAAAAGAAGGCATCCCAACAAACTAAGATGTGTGTACCACTAACAGAACTTATCTGAAATCATCTACTGATCACAAAGACATGTCTTGCTTGGGGAAAAACCCATGCATATTTACATTCTTGTAGCAATACATTTGGAATTATCCTGGTATATTAGTGGCGGTGTGTTTCTTATTCTTACCATGCTGCTATTGTTGGTGTGTGCTGTTAATCCTCACTTATAGCAACCTTAAATGACAGGGTTGAACTCCTCATAGCGTTTCTTCAGGTCTGGTCTTCACGGGAGCAGATCACCTGGTATTTTCTCCCCAAGAGCAGTTGGGCGGGGTCAACTCGCCAACCTTTGGTTAGTAGCTCAGCATTGTGTCACCAGTGGTCTGTTCTAACCCATAATGATTTGAATTTCACTCTTCCTGAGTAAGTTTAGAGAACACATTCTCAGTAAAGAATCTTTAACCACCTGGTTCCTCTTTCCCTTTTCTTCCTGTTTCTTTCTTCACCCTTTGAGTTCCCACTTTGAGCAATTTGCTTAGAGTATGTTTAAAGGCGGTGGTTCTCCCCATACTGATGCTGGGAACGAATTCTCTCTGTGCACTGAGTGCTGATGCTGACGTTTTCAGTTTTCCCAAGATACTTCACAGCAGTATTTGCCTACTAGGAGCTTCTGCTCTGCGATTGGGTTATAGGAAGTATCAGCATTGACCACACCTTTGTTCTCGTTTCTAAAGTATCCTAAGGAAAGGATGAAACAAAATTTCTGAAGAAAGCAGCCGGTCTCCTCTCATCATGGCCTCGGAGATCACATATGCTGAAGTGAAGTTCAAAAATGAATCCAAGTCAGAGCCTCCTGCCGGTAAGAAACCTTTTTGGGTGGTCAGAGTTAGGGATGAGATAAAGAATAAAAAGAAGGGTGTGGGGAGAGAGCGCTCGAGATGATTGTGATGATATATATACAACTGTTTTTAAAAGCAATTTAACCATGGAAGTGTATGAAATGTGAATATCATATCAAGAAAACTGCTAAATAAAAAAGATAAGAAACCAGATTTGACCAATGGTTACCGTAGGGGAAGGAGAAAGAGTTGTAGCTTAGGGGGGATTGAGTATATGTTAATGGTGGTGGAATAATCTGGGAAAGGCGATCAATGATGGTTGCATAATACAAAGAGTATAATCAATGACACAGAATTATATATATAGAAGTTGCTGAATTGTAGAATGTTCTGTTGTGTATATTTTTGCCACAATTTGAAAAAAAATTACATGAATAATAACACATACAAGGGAGAATAATATTCTTAGAAATGAATGTGGTGATAATTGTACAAATCTTCTTGATATGATTGAATTATTGAATTGCATGGCATGTAGATGAAGTGCTAATAAAACTGTTTTTTAAAAGAAGCATAAGAAGAAGGTCTTCATGTTATCAACAAGATATAATGAACGAGAGTCGTTGGTTCTGTGAGTGACCAGGACTGCAAACGCTGAGGATTCCGATTAGATTGAGTGCTCTGTACATAGGCATTAAGGGACTGTGCTGTTAAATGATAGTGAAAAAAGGATCTGATGCCCTTATATTTTGCCGTAACTCCAATGACTGGGAGAAAACTAAGGTGTGAGATCCCAGCTAAGGTCTCCATGTAAGGAGAGTGTTAGTAATTCTGAAAAAACTTTGCCCCTGTGCCTTCTGGGACTCACAGGGGATGGAGGAAGGGCTTGTAAAACCATATCTGATTCAGACACAGGGTTTCTTGATGTACTGATATGCTTTGGGTGGAGGATGTTGATATTGTATATGTAGTACTGGACTGGCGTGGAATAAAACATGATGATAGATAAAAGGCTAGACAGTCTAACAAAGTTACTGTCTTAAATCTTCAGGGATTTTTTTCCCCTGAAATTAGAAAATCCATTGCACATTGTATTTCCTAAGCAGGCACAGTTAGGCTTGGGAGTTGACAAGTGGTAATTTGGGTGGCACACGTGGTGTGTTATATGTGGAGCAAAAGATAGTAAAAGGACAAAACCAAATAAAATAAAATAACAAAACTAAATAAATAAGGGTCAGGCTTGCTCAAGTTTTTTGAAAGCATCTCTCTGGAGATATCAACAAGCATGAAAAGAAACTCTTTCCTCTCTTAAAAACTTTTAACCATTATCTTATTATACATGTAATGGGGTTCATTATAGAAAAAGTTATTAAAATGGATGTATGTATGGATTGTGATAAGAGTTGCATGAGCCCCTAATAAAATTATTTTTAAAAAAGAAAAAGTTATTAACTAGCAGTGCACAAATATTTAAACGATACTTAATCTTGTTACTGTTAGGTGCCATCAGATCTATTCTGACTCATAGTGACCCTGTATACTAATGGACAAAACACTGCCCAGCGCTGTGCCACCCTCACAATTGTTGCTGTATTTTAGCACCTTTCTGCAGCCATTGTGCTAATCCAGCTCACGGATCCTCTGCGTTATAAAGCATAATATCCTTTTCCAAGGATTGGTCCCTTCTAATGATGTGTTCAATCTTACCATCCAGAAATAACCACCATTTACATTGTAGCAGACATCCCTGAAGACAGAAATACATGTCAATATGTGTATGTCACTCTTACAAATATGAGGTCATATTATATGATATGGAGGGCTCTCCGGTCACTTGATGACATAACTTTCAGAAAGTGATTATTAACTATGAAGGACTTGACCTTAATCTATGGAAATTATCCAGGATGATTGTAAAGATGTATCTGCTGTAGAATTACTTCCAGTCCCTGGTGGTAAAAACATTTTACCACCTGACAACTAGCCAAAGTTTGGCAATTTGAACTGACCCAGAGGCATCTTGGAAGACAGACCTGCTGATGTTTCCAGAAGGTCACAACCTTGAAATTCCCTGGTGAGCAGTTCTACTCTGCGCATGTGGGGCTGCCAGGAGTTTGAATCGACTTGAAAGCATCTCACAGTAACAGCAGCATTTTTCAGTTATTTAAAGACAGAAAAATTACAACTACTGAAGTGTGC